TTCGTCCTCCCACCGACGTACTATTAATAAATAAAAATAACATTAATTTAGTTTTTGTTCTGTTTCTAGGACGAAAATAAATACTAAAGTGAAATAAATAGTGCATGTGTGTGTGTGTGTGTGTGTGTGTATATATATATATATATATATATATATATATTATACAATTTTAGTATTAATTGTAAGTTTCATGAGTTTAGATTACAGAAGTTAGGAGGGATTGAGAAAGACATGGACCTTGCAAAGATTTTAAGTTATTTTTGTTCATTGAAACTTACGGACATTTTTATTGAAAATTTTCTGTTTTTTATCAGAAAGGAAGCTGGACATGAACAACCTATCTCAAAGAAAGGATTGTTCAAAGGAGAACCTAAGAAACCTCCTCAGTAAGTAATTCTAGATGAATTACTATCATATTTAACTGAATAGTATAGTTGACAGAACTTGTCTTAATTCTTTAAAATGTTGATTGACTTTTATCATTTCTTACTGAAGTAAGATAACTTTACTGAGTGCCTGACTTGTCTAGATAACTTCTGAATGTGTTTAACTTCGCTTAGTTCTGTTGACGGTCTTGCTTCCATGGTAACATGATGATTCTAATGTGCTTGTCTAATTTTGAATATCTGTATGACCTGATTATTTAAGTTCTCATGTAATAGTTAACATCAGATGGCTTTTGAATTTTGCTGATTTTTATTTATGCTTGAATAACTTATAATGACTATCTTGTTCAGCTGATTTTTGCTTCTTTTGTTATATTTTTTGCATGAACTTGTGGTAAGTTGCCAGTTCTTTTAAAAAAAACATTTCTTTTTAGGAGTGGGTATGCAGTCTTTTCTTCGGAAATGCTTAGCATTCTGACAGAAGTGGACCCAAAAAATAGAATGGCAGAGATTGCCAAGCGCTGGAAAGCAATGTCTAATGTAGAGAAGGAGAAGTACAAGAAGCGGTCACAAGATTTAATGAAAAAATATAATAAGGAGCTTCAGAAATTTTTGAATGTAAGTTTAAAATTTGCTTGATTAAATATTTTGTATCACAATATTTAAAAAGAATGAAATAGCTGTACCAAACAAACTGTAGCACTGAAATATTAAAACTGAAATTACTACACTAGGCATACCTGCAGCACTTGACATGAGTTATACACCCAAAGTAACTGCATTGGTCATAAGTTTGACTGAAGTGGCTGTTCAAAACATGACTGTACTCTGGGGACATTACACCAGATATATCTGTATTAATGCATTGATTAAGCTAAAAATGACAGTACAACTGATTTTGCAGCACTGTACATGATTGTACATTTGGAGTGGTTACATCAGGCAATTAAGTCTTGTTCTGATCATTTTGATTAGATGTTTTTCAGTTTCACAAAGAAAATGAGGATATAATAGGCTTTGAAAGAATCCCAATTAAATTTTTGTTAAGATAAATGATCAAACTGTTCTGTGGATCTTAAGGTCAGTGAAGTCAAGTTTATATTGCTTGTAGAAATGTGATTGAGGGGTGGTGATGGAAGTAGATCTGGAATGGAGGATATGAAACTTATTGTATACAAAACTTTAAAAAGAATGTATTTAACATATCTGGAGGAGAGAAAGAGATAAGGTATCAGAATTTGATGGATGGTGGTAGTTATAGACAATGACTTTCAAAGGTTTACACATTTTGTGAAGCATAGATCTTTACTCAACCTGTATCTTCACCATCACTGTTTATATGCATCAGTCTACTATCAGTTTGAAATAAGTTAAATATCAACTTCTGATGGCTGAAACACATTACAATTTAAAGTTTATCTTAACTGTTTATTATCAGTGCATCATGTAAACTTCTAAATTGAAACTTTTGTATAAGTAATGTAATGATAACTCAAAAGATCATGCATATGATTTAAGTTTCTCCTTATCACATCAGTTTGTAACAGATTGAGGTAAGAATATTGAGATAAAGCTCTTGCAAACATTACTTTTTAAATTAGTTATGAAGGTTTACACTTTAATATGTTTAGAATGATGTTAGATATTTTTACTTGAATAACCTGAAACCATAACAGAAAGACATTTCTTAATTTCAAATTCCTATTACATTCTTACAGGGCCTTACACCTGCAGAGCGAGAAGCATATGATCAGGTGCGTTCTAAGAAGGGAAAAGCTGATAATAAATATGCACAGTTGTGTAAAACTGTAAAACCACAGCCACAGACTGGAAAGGTAAATTAACCAATGCTTAAGAGTACTTATTAAATTCAAGGTATAAAAATAACATAAATGCAAGATTTTCTTTTGTGAGAATGCTTTTCTATATTTTTATTCATAATATGTAGCTTTATAAGGAAATCTTACACCATCAGCTGTCCAGGGATTTTTAATAGAATGGCTGTTTTTTTTCTGTCATTTTTCTCTTAACTTAACCCTTTACACACTGTCAATCCATTTAGCATGTTGCAATGTTTTATAGTTAGATTCACAATTAAAATAAACTTAATTAGTAATTTGTGTCAATAAACTTGATATCAAAGGGTAGTTTATAATTCTAATTTTTATATTATGTAAGTTTTCTTAATTTCAAGAATATATATCTAAAACAATTTTTACTTGTGTTACATGAAGTGTGTGTGTGTGTGACTGCATTTCTTTCGTAGCTTACACGAATTCAGTAGTGTATAGCTTCTACAGTATCTGACTAATATAAATACAAACTATACATAATGATAAGGTGGAATGTTTATTTTTCAAATCTTAACTTCTCCATTTGTTAAGATATCAGTATATTTTTTTTTAACCCAAGACAGAAGTCCTGCGCATCTATTGTTAGCTTTCAAGGCTGTTTTAAAAATCACGTGTTCTTATTTGACGTACATGTTTATAACCAATAAAAAGTTGTTGTTGTTTTTTCTTTTTCAAGCTTGCAGCTGTCCTAATAAGTTTTGTTGTGTTGTACTGTTTCTCATAGAGGTATCAACTGCTTACATGGCAAAGTAATGCACTAAAACTATAAAATTAAAAGAATATAGACATGAAAGGTTGACAGTTGAAATTTTGAGTTTGATTAATTGAAGATGTGACAGCAAATGATTCATTGAAAGAAGAAAAAAGATATTATTCATTTTAATTCATAATTTTCAACTTTTCATTTCACTGTACTATGATGGTTTAGCTAGAGCAAGTGTTACAGTAGAGAAAGTAACAGATAAAATATAGTTTTACAAAAAAAACTTTATTTAGGAAGTTCTAAATGTAAATGAAAAGATGCTTTTATTCTTCGCATAAAAATTACCTTGTATTCCAATTGTCTCAGTGGCTATAAAAATCACAAGTCTTGAGTGTAAATAATTTATCAAAAATCATTCTGTACAACAGAACTTTAATGTTTTCTAAAAGCTTGCCAAATTTCTTATAACTACACTTTGTAAATTCAGAGTTCTAGTATGTATAGCTTGAACATTCTGGAGCTCAGACCAGTGGATTGAGTTATGTGGAAAGGGTTAACCATACTCTATTGTATACTTTTTAAAGATTTTAGATGCTAATTGAGGATCACGTTTAATTAAATGCATGTAATAATGTTTCATCTATTAAAATTCACTTATAGTCCGAGTTTTTTTGTTTTGTTTTTTATATATATATATATATGTAAAAGAATCATTTTGAATATCATATTACAGTTTTTGAATTCACCAAATTTACTGAATTATTTGCTAATATGAATCTAATTCAGATTCTTTCTTTAACCCTTTCATGGTGGGCTCGTGCAATTTGTGAAATCGAGTCACGAATTTCACTTGAATAACAGTATATGTGGTAACTCTGAGATTTCTTAATGTATTCTCTCAAAAACTGATAAGATTTCATTAAAGATCATAAGTATCTTGTACACAAGTATTGAGGTTTTTATAATTAAGTGTCTTTACAAAAATGCTACTTTTCTTTTGTAGTCACTCGCATTCAAACTACTAACAAATCGAGTACAAAATGATCTTCATTTTAAGTATAAAGATACTTTTCTTCATCTTATAGTTTTAATATTTCATTTGCATAATCTCTAGAACCTTCTAAAAGTATATCAAAATTTTTAAGGTAAAATTTTATTTTCTTTACCATATCACTAACTCTAGCTATTATCAATAGCAAACAATGCAAGGAAATTAAAATTAGGAAATATAAAAATAAAAATACATACAATTTAATTTTTTATAGAATATCTTTAAACAGTTTCCTTTTGTTAAATTCTTAATTTCATCTTTTTTTTCCCCCCTTTTCATATATAGTTAATTTTTAAAAGTTTCTTGTCTTTTACAACTTTTTATTCATCTCTGTACAAGTCAATGGTGCCCTTGAAACATATTACAGTTTCTTTGGGAGATATGTAACCCTTCACCAAAATTTTTTGTTCAGCACGTAATATTTTGTAAGCCTTTAGAATGGATGCAAAGTATGATGTATTAGATCGTCAAGAAATTAATGTTGTGTTTTGGAACACTTTCATTAACCATGCCCCAAAAAACATACATCACGTATAATAGTTAAACGAACCTCCTAAATGTCATGTTAGTGTAGCCTGTATAATATGTAAAGTTTAGTATACTCTAATCCCTTATATTGATGGCACACGTCGAAACACATATTCAGCATGTAATGCTGTTTGAATACAAGAAGGGAAGCAATGCCTCTATAGCCACAAAGAATACGAAAGAAGTTTATGGAAATGTTTTAAAATGTTCATAAGTGTCAATGATGGTTCAGCAAATTTTGTTCAGGTGACTTTAGCCTTAAAGAATGTGATGGCAAGGGCCAACATGTTGGAATTCATATTGATGCTCTGAAGACGCTTGTTGGGTCTAACTCAAGGCAACACACACTCGTGAGATGGCCCTGAAATTGCATGTCTCTCATGAAACAATATGTAAACATCTAAGGAATATGGGAAAACTCCATAAGGGAGGTGTTTGGGTGCCTCATGAACTCTCCGATGATAATAGTTTCCAACGTGCTTCGTCTCTTCTGGCGTGTAATGTGCGTGAACCATTTTTGGACAGAATTGTCACCAGTGATGAAAAATGGATTTTCTAAGCGAATATTAAAAGCCAAAACCAATGGCTCAGTCCTAGACAAAAACCACTTCCGGCCCAAAAACTGGATTCCATCCGCAGAAAGTGATGCTTTGCATTTGGTGGCACATCGAAGGAGTAATTCATTTCAAACTCCTCAATCCACAATGAAATGTCAATGCAGAGATCTATAGTCAGCAACTAGAACGTTTGAATCAAGCTCTTCATCAGAAATGCCCTTCACCTGTCAATCAGAAAGGTGTTCGTCTTCTCCACGACAATGCATGACCACATGTGTCATGTTTGACACAACACAAGATTATGGAGTTGGGTTAGGAAGTTCTCCCCCCACCCACCATATTCTCCGAATATGGCACCATCAGATTACCGTCTTTTCTGTTTGCTGCAACACGATCTTAATGGGAAAACGTATGCAAATATGGAAGGTGTTAAAGAGGACATCGACATCTTTTTTCTTCAAAGCCAAGTGATTTCTTTAATCAGGGCATTAACAACCTAATTGTAAGATGGAAGAGAATCATTGATAAGATTGGAGACTATTTCATTTTGTTTTGATATACAAGTTGTTCGGCTTTTTTCATCCAAAAAAAAGTGACATTAATTTCTTGACGGCCTAATATATTTAAAAATATTTAAAACTTTTAATTATGCATTTTAAACGTAACTAATACATAATTAACTAGAATATAATAGTAAGACCTAAATGCAATTTAAACTGGGTTTCTAACATACTTGGGTAAGAAGCAACAATAAGTGCTGTAGTCGATCAAGCAGCCAACAATACTATACTCAGTTTCATGTACTCTGCGATGAAGACTTGGTGCCAATTTCAAAATAATTGTTGTTAGTTTATGCTGTAAAAGGAGTTCTTTCTAATTGTTATGTACACATTTACTTAACGTTTACATGGAAGGGATAAAGCTCAAATAAATCTGAAGGTGGGCATGGAAGCTGTCAGAGGTTGAAAAAGTTTTTTACATGTTTTAACTGTATTTGCTCAGAGTACTTTGGAAGGGAAAGGTCAAAAGGTGGCACCAATTTCAAAATGATTGTTCTTAGTTTATAGTGTACAATGAGCTATTTCTAATTGTTATATACACATATGTATGTAACATCCATATAGAAGAGATAAAGCTAAAACAAATCTGTTGAAGGTGGGCATGGAAGCTGTCAGGGGTTAAAAAATTTATTAGTTGTTTTAACTGTATTCGTTCAGAGTACTTTAAAAGGAATGAGTCAAAAGGTTATGTAAGCATCTTATTGTTTAGATGTCCCTCTGCACAACTACCATTGTGTATATTGAAGATACAGAATTTTCATAGCTCGTTGGTCAAGTGAAAATACATCAGAAGTTTTAAGTAGTTTTTAAAGGCTTATTTTATAATAAAGAACTTAAAACTTAGATGAAATAAAACTTTAGATGATAACACAAATTATAATACTAAATTCATTCACATACATTGATATTAAAGATGTTTAATTAAACTTTGAATTTAACAAAGTGACTTGCGCAGAAAAGAGTTTAAAAGGGTTCCCGTTCTGAAAGGGTTAATGGTGTATATGTTTGTTTATTTTTGTTTATTCACAGAAACACACACACACACAAAGCTGAGAGTTCTAAGATATTCACACTACTATACACAACAGAAGTGTTTTAGTTTATAACATTTTCAAGAAATTTTGCTTTTAAAAAGTAAAACCTATTTTTTATCTCATCTTTTTTAGGATATTGCTACCAAAAAGGAAGAAAGTGAATCCGAAAGTTCAGATGATGATGAGGAATCATCATCTGAGGATGATAATGATGATGATCAGGAGGAGCAGTCAGGAGATTCTGATGATTCAGATTCAGGATCAGAAGAATCAGGGAGTGATTCTGACGATGATGAAGATGACGATGATGATTCAGATGAAGATGAAAATGATGGAGAAGCAAAGAAGGTATAAATTTGAATTAACTTTGTAATAGCAGGAGTCATAAAATAGTTAATTTTCATTGATTTTCCATCATTATTTTCTTGTTCTGACTCAGTGACATCTATAAATGTGCCATATGATTATGGTCAAACACAATTAAAGATTTTTGCTTTCATAATTTAGTAATGGTTCATCAACTATTCTCCGATCATTCTTTCATTAAACATACATTGGTCTGGAAAGTATAAGCAAGTTGATTTTTGTCTTTCAACAACATACAAGTGCCACTTGAGAAAGTGCTTCATACTCATTCGTAAGACAGTGTATCTTTTAATAATATGAATTCTAATACTAAGATGAGGTTAAATTGAGATCAGTGTAGTGAATACGTGCTTGAAATTTTCAATTCCTCAGTTAAATATTTCGTTTTAAAGGTGCAACTGTATTCATTTTGTGTTTTTTTGTACATGTATATGTAAAACCTGTATGTATACCACATTTGGCTTAATAGAAGGATTTGTTTGTTTTGAACCATTTACTGTAATATCAACTCCCTTTGATATTCTTTGAAATTTTGACACAACTTTTAAGTTCAGTTAAACAAGATTTATATAATTTAAATATGCCTTTTTTTCCCTCTCTCTCTCTTGAAACATTGCTACAATTGTGTTCATGATACTAAAGTAATCCATTAATCAGTTCTGAAATTTTATAATTTTTCAGCGTATATATGTAGCAGAAAAGGTGGAAAAGCCCAAAATGTTTCAGGTGTTTAATAAAAGTAATGTATGCAATTATAACTCAATTATTTTTTGGTATTATCTGTATAGTTCAATAAGGTTCTGTTTAAACAGAGAGATAAATAAATAAACTAAAAACTTTTTGTCATATTTTCAATACAGTTGTACATGGCATTAATATCCTATCCTATGTGTTGTGAAAGTGTATGAGTTACAGGTGCCTGACATAACTGACCTGACCAGCTGCATTGAGAAACAGGTATTTCAAGAGACATAAAGCTGTAAAAGTGATAATTAAGTTGAATTTCTATCACTTTCATCCTTCATTTTCTTATGAATTATTTCATAACTTCTACTTTTTTTCTTTCATTTGTAGGAAGGAAATGAAGATAGTAGTTCAGAAGATAGTGACAGCGACAGTGAAAGTGGTAGTGGGACTAGTGAAGACAGTAGTGGATCTGGATCTGAAAGTGAGAAAGAGTGAAATTCTGAAGAGTTGGAAAAACAATGGCCAAAAAAAAAATATTTAGATATATACTGACTTCTTGGACACTAATTTGAAAGTGCCTTGGGCAACTTTAAAATAATACTGTATCCATTTTCACATGAAGATAAACCTAGAATGTATCTTATTTCTGTTCTTCTCATACAATAGCCATAGAAAAAATTTCTTAGTTACCCTAGCAACTGGGTTCCTCCTAAAACATTTTTTTACTGGATAAATCACCTGCATAACAACTGAGATTCATTAAATACACACACCATTTAAACAGGTCTTTACCTTATTAAAAACTGGAATTCTTTCTAGAAAAACATCCACAGAATAGTAATACACCCTAGGAAGTGGGTTTTATGAAAGAAAATTTCATGGCTTGTAAGATGCACAGTTAACAAGCTTCTTCATAGATACTGTCAGTTGAACAGCTATATACCTTAGCCACTGGGACTTCCTTGGAAATATTTGTGTAAATGGTCAGTATGGTAACTAATGAAACAAGATATTTTCTATACAAAAATTACCTAATCTGTAACCTACAGAAACAACTCTGATTCTTCCTAGAAACTGTTAACTGAACACTAAATTTTTCTTATCAACCAGGATTTTATAGAAATTATCAATTAATCGGTTATCTTAATGTACATCATTCCATGATCTGTTCTTGAAAGTATTAAATAGACAGTTTTAGGATTCTTGTAAAGGTATCAAAATATATATATATATATAAATTTACATAGGGAAGGAAGAGCTTCCATTGTTACTTAAACACTGATACAGTACAGGATGATCTTAAATCGAGGAGTGCTAGAACATAGTATGGTGATTGCTTACACCCAGTAGATAGCTGCATACAGCAAGTTCCTTTCATTTCATTCTCAAAAATATTTCACAAGTATGGACACATTCAATTACACTAGCCTGTTTCTCATACCTTACCTCACTAATTGTTCTAATTTGAAACAATACAAAAAATGCTAGTTTTTACAGGACCTATTACCTTTTATGACTGTGGTCATTCTTTGTATTTCAGATGTATTTTTGCACGTTTATACGGACGGCACAACTATCCTTATTAACAGAATATATATGTCTATAGTTGTAATTTTTTTGCAGACTGTTTCCCTTTGTAATGTTATTGATAAGCATCATCTTATCTTTATTAATATCTGATTTGGATTTAAAAAATATTTGCTTGACTGGTTGTTACTCAAGCAGTTTTTAGAGTGAGTTAGAAAACATAAGTATACCCTACCCCCTGCCATACACACACTGTTTACTGTGATTGTATGATGTGACAATGTACTGGATGGACCAGAATCATGTTTTTTGGGGTTTTTTTCATGTATCGTCTTGTTTTAGCTTTAACAACTTTTCTTATTTACTGCACTGCAAGTCTGTGAATATTCCTTGGCTAAATCACTGCGTGCTATCAAAAGTTCAACATATTTCAGGCAGTTGTGTGTGACCTTCACAGTATATTTAATTTGCAAGTTATTCAGCTCTTCTTGTGGTTGTTTTTGTACACATAATTTGTATAGCTTTAGCTAATAAGTTGAACCAGACTTGTTTTCCTGCAAGCTATTGCATTGTATTTTGGATTATTTTGCCATTTCTTATAAAGTTGATTATATATGAAATAACTGCATCACTTTCAGTGTTGAACTGGACATTGGCATATGAGTAATGCATTTGACCAAAGATTAATTTTCTTTAGGCACAAATATGTGGAGCAACAAGTAGGGTGGAAAATATTTCAGTCCACTTGATTTGCTTATAAAGAAGTTTACACAACATATTTGAGGCAAATGTGTAATAAGTTGAAGATTCATCCTTTTTTCTTTGCCTTGACTTTATCTGCTCACAACATATTATCCATGTTAGTAAGAAAAAATGCTTTTCTCTCTCTCTCTTTTTTTTTGCATGAGCCATATATGAAAATGAAAGACAAACTCTTGAATGTATTATTATTCTATGTTGTCAATTTTCCTATGTTTAAGTGGTTTTGAGCATTTTCTATCAGCAGTGTTTGTTGATCATACTGTTTTCTCAAGTCATGTATGAAGTCTTAGAATGATAATTAAAATATAAAAAATAGTAGTTAATAGTAAATGTGTTTGTAATTCCAAAAGTTACAAATCACTGAACATGTTTGTCTTATAAAAGATAATGCTTCACTCTTGGGTTCTATGATTAATGAAGATTTATTTATTAATAACATCATCAACAAAGTGGATTTCAGTTTCTAAGCTTCCTACAAGAATTGTTATGTGAAATTTTTAAACACTATAATTTGAAAGTATCCAAAAGTACAGGTATGCATCTAGAATACATCTTCCACAAAGATAACTGTGAAATAGTCTTTGGACACAAAGCAGAGCTGAAATGAGTAATGTCTGGAACAAAGTAATTGGAATAAACAAAATTAACTATAAAAATAATATCTTTGCACTATCATGTGACTAAGTTGGTGAACAGAAAAGTTGGAAAAGAATGGAATTTTTGTTATATCTAAACAGACCCTAGAGCCAGTTTGTATATTAAGAAGTGAACATCTAAACCCTAACAACTTCAAGGCACGGTACATTACAATAATATCTTTCTCACAGAATCTGAGGAAATTCTATTGCAACTGTAAAAGGCTATACAATCTAGCCATAAGTCTATTATATAAATAAAAAAAGTGAAATTTGAATATCTTAAAATTGGAGAAAAATTGCTGATTTTATAATTATTCATTCAAATTTTTTCTTACCTTCAAGTACTCAGTGTAACACTGTTTGCATTTTAAAGTAACTATAGTGAACAAACTATTTAAGACATCTGGATTGGTTAAATAATTGACCTCATTATTTTACTGAAATAACTAAAATTTAATAAAAAATTAATGCAATATATATATATATATATATATATATATA